ATTTATTTATTTATTTTTATTATTATTAGTTAAGGTATTACAAATGTGTCCTCATCCCCCCCATTAACCCCCAACCTCCCCCCCACACACAAACTCATGCTCCCATCCCCCTGTTGTCCATGTCCATTAGTTTGGCTTATAGGGCCTCTAGTTCTTAATAAAGGAAGTGATTGTTTTCAAACTTTTGGATTTCTATTTTTAAATACTTTGCTTTTAGTATAGACTGAACAATAGGTGTTAGCAGCAAATCAGTATCAGCTAATACTAAACACCACTGAAGAAATGGAAATTCAAGTAATTCCGTGGTAAAGAAATGTAAGTAACAAAACATCCCACTAAGTTAACATTATCATTTTCTTTATACATAGACTGTAATTTAGAATTATAACAATTGTTTTAACAAAGTTATTTTCAAAAGGAAGCAGTAAGTAGCTACTGGTTTAAAGCTAAAATGGTAGGTGATTGGTTCAATGTTTTTACAATTTAAAAATTCCTCAAACAGGCTTATGTAAATAAAAGATAAGCAGAAATTTCCAATTATGTGTGTGAGAGAGACCGAGACAGAGAGCTTCTCCAATATGAATGGGTCGAAAATATTTTTCAGGTTAATAAAGTTATGTTTTTGTGTTTTGTTCTGTTTTTTGCTTGTTTGTTTGTTTGTTTTATAAACAGATTTTTACAGCCCTGACCTGTGTGGCTCAGTTGAATGAGCATGGTTCTATGCAGCAAAAGGTTGCTGGTTCAGTTCCCTGAGAGGGCACATGCCCGACATGTTTCGGCCTTGATCCCCATTAGGGGGCATGCAGGAGGCAGCTGATTGATGTTTCTCACATGGGTGTTTCTCTTTCTCTCTCATCAATTAAAAAATAGGCTTTTACAAATGTTTGGCTTTATCCCCTCATAGTCTCTGTAGAAAATGAACACACATATAGCAATAACTCATTTTTGGGGGGGTATAATTAGTCTTTATTTTATTTTATTTTATTATGCATTTTTATTGATGTCAGAGAAGAAGGGAGAGGGAGAGAGAGATAGAAACATCAATGATGAGAGAGAATCATTGATCAGCTGCCTCCTGCACACCCCCTACATGTGCCCTTGGTAAGAATCGAACCCAGGACTCCTTAATCTGCAGGCCGACACTCTATCCACTGAACCAAACCGACTAGGGTCTAATTAGTCTTTATTAATGCATAAAGCCAAACCTAAACTATCTGCTATTTTATCTTGTCAGATATATTCCCTTTTGAAGTAAAATACAAAAGATTTCTAATGACATTTTATATATCATTCCAAGAATGCTGGCTGCTTACCATTAGAGAGAGTTTTAGGAATGAGAAGTGACTGGCTTAAAATTATGGCTAATAAAATTATAACCTAAATCTATCAGTATCCAATAATCATAGACACATGCTTATTTACTTACAACAATGTCTGTATTTTTATTTATTACCTGAGGCCCGGTGCATGAAATTCGTGCACTGGGGAGTGGGGTTCCCTAAGCCCAGCCTGCCCCTCTCACAGTCCGGGAACCCTCAGTGGATGTCCTACTGATGGCCACAGTCTGGCAGCAGAGACTCAGAGCAGGCGTCCCGTGTGTGTGAGTGTGTGTGTGTGTGTGTATGTGTCTGCCGGGCCTGCCCCCAGCCGCACCACGTAGGCGCAGAGCAGTTGTCCTGTGTGTGTGTGTATGTGTGTCCCTGCCGGGGGCCTGCCCCAGCCACATCAGAGGCTCAGAGCAGTCACCCTGTGTGTGTGTGTGTGTGTGTGTGTGTGTGTGTGTGCTGGGGGCCTGCCCCAGTCACACCATGGATGCTTGTTGATCTCTCAGGCTCCTGGCCTCCACTGCATGTTGTTCTCTCCCTATAGCTGTGGCCAGGGTGGGGAGCAGGCCCTCCTTGGTGCTGCCTGCAGGCTGCACTTCCTGCTCGAGGATCGCCATGGTGACTGGTGACCCGGGAGCAGGCCCTGCTGGGTGCTGCCTGATGGGGGCTGCCTACAGGTGACACTTTCCTGCTCATGGATCACCATGGCAACTGGGATGCAGGCCCTCCTGGGGGCTGCCTGCAGGCCCTGCTTTCCTACTCGTGGATCACCACGGCGACCCAGGAGCAGACCCTGCTGGGGCTGCCTGCAGGCCATGCTTTCCTACTCACGGATCGCTACAGCAACCTGGGAGCAGGCCCTCCTGGGAGGCCGGGGCTGGGCGGGCGGCGGATCACGCTCTCCCGCCCCACCTGCAGTATGCAAATTTAATGGCCATCTTTTTTTTTTTTTTTTTAAATTCATGTTTTATTTTTTATTTATTTTTTTTAAAAATATATTTTATTGATTTTTTACAGAGAAGAAGGGAGAGAGATAGAGAGTCAGAAACATCGATGAGAGAGAAACATCGATCAGCCGCCTCCTGCACATCCCCCACTGGGTATGCCCGCAACCCAGGTACATGCCCTTGACCGGAATCGAACCTGGGACCCCTCAGTCCGCAGGCCGACGCTCTATCCACTGAGCCAAACCGGTTTCGGCCATCTTTTTTTTTTTAATCTTTAAATTCTTTATTAGTTAAGGAATTACAAATGTGTCCTCATTCCCCCCCCATTAGCCCCCAATGGCCATCTTTGTTGGGTTAATTTGCATACTCTTCTGATTAGCTGATGGGTGTGGCAAAGGTACGGTCAATTAGCATCTTTGTCTTTTATTAGTGTAGTTTTTTTTTTGTTAAGCCTCACCTGAAGATATTTTTTTCCATTGATTTTTATAGAGACTGGAAGGAAGAGGGTGAGATAGAGAAAAACATCAATGTGAGAGAGACACATAGATTGGTTGCCTCCTGCACACACCCTCAGTAGGGATGAAGCCCTGAAAGGGGATGAAGCCTGCAACTAAGACCCTTCAGTCTGCAGGCTGATGCTTTAGCCACTGAGCCAAACCAGCTAAGGCCAAAGTTTGTATTTCTAGAAGGATCTTTGAAATTTCTTTTCTCCTTATTTTTATGATTACCTAATTATCCATTCCATTATTCTTTTTGTAGCAAATATTCTGAAATTCTGATTTAATTTATGTATAAAGACTAATCCTGAGTATTCAAATGGATGTGTCCTCTGACATGGGGATAAATTATGCCACATAGTGATTGAAAATATAACTAACCCAGAAAGTGATTTTGACATAAGACCTCATTTATTTCCAGAGGTTATTTCAGTTTGGGGCTTTGGGATGAGTTAAACATCCCAGAGCAGGGGAGGGTGGAGGGTGGAGGGTGGTGCAGGGCAAGTTCATAATTCTTCAGTATCTAGGCAGATCAGTTGTTAGCAGGAACATCTGAGATATCAGATCATGCTTGCTAATCAAGAGATATTTAATGAGCATCTCCTTTTTGCCTGATGCTGTTGGGAAATATAAAAATACCTGTAAGACAAATAGAGGACCTACAATCATTCTGGAGAAACAATATAATTGTTAAGAACAATTAAATACTAAACTTTGTAGTAATATACTAATCATAGCTTCAATAAAGAGAGACTGTGTGGATTGGAATAATTAATAAGGCTGTACCAAAGGAAATGTGGAACCAACTGAAGGCTTATTAACCTTGGTTCTATTTTAGGTAGGATGACTATAAAGCAAAAACAAACAACAAAAAAGATTGTTTTGGTGGAAATGACTTATAATGATCTACATAGGGTCATCTTAAGCCTACTCGGAATCTATATATATAAAATCCTAATATGCAAATAGATTGAAAGGTGGAACAACTGAACAACCTGTTGTTATGACGTGTGCTGACCACCAGGGTCCACATGCAGAACATGGCGGGCATCGACTACAGGCAGCAGAGTGCAGAACATGACATCATGACACGGAGGGATGGTGGAGCAGGTGAGCGGAGGAGCCAGACCAAAGTGGGGCACAGATCGCTGTCATTGGGGTGAGCCTCTGGTGGTTACTGAAATTTCTTTGCTCCCATGTGCCATGGTCCCACTGGGTGCTCGCACCTGCTGCTGGCACCGCCTCACTCGCACCTCCTGCCAACGCCCTATGCCAGTCCCTATCACTCAACCATCAGCAAGTGCGAGTGGGGCTGGAGCCGTCAGTGCGTGGGAGTGGCAGCAGGAGTGAGGCTTCCAGCAGACAGGGGACCAGGGGCCATGGTGAGAGGGGCTGACCCCCGCTCGTGTGCCCACCGCAGCCTCACAGCCCACAGTTCCTTTCAAGGTGCACAAATTCATGCACTAGGCCTCTAGTAGATCAATAAAGTTACAGGTAAATGTCAAGATCTGATTTCTATTTCATTGAGATAAAAGAAGAGGTGTTTGCTGAAACCGGTTTGGCTCAGTGGATAGAGCGTCGGCCTGCGGACTGAGGGGTCCCAGGTTCGATTCCGGTCAAGGTCATGTACCTGGGTTTCGGGCACATCCCCAGTGGGAGATGTGCAGGAGGCGGCTGATCGATGTTTCTCTCCCATCGATGTTTCTAACTCTCTATTTCTCTCCCTTCCTCTCTGTAAAAAATCAATAAAATATATTTAAAAAAAAAAAAAAAAGAAGAGGTGTTCAACAGATTAAATTCTGGTCTGCATTAGTTATTAGCAATTGCATTAGTTTTCTTTCTTTTTTTCTTTCACATTAGTTTTTTATTGCTCTACAACAAATCGCCACAAATGTAGCAACTTAAAACAGTATATAAGTAGCCCAGCCAGCATGGCTCAGTGGTTGAACATCGACCTATGAACCAGTAGGTCATGGTTTGATTCTTAGTCAGGGCACATGAGTGGATTGCATGTACAATCCCCAGTGTGGGCATGCAGGAGGCAACCAATTAATGGTTCTCTTTTATCCTTGATATTTCTATCTCTCTCTCCCTCTTCCTTCCTCTCTGAAATCAATAAAAATATATTTTAAAAAAATACTTAAGGTCAGGAAATGACCTCCTGGCCCAGAGCTGTCTGGCTGGAGCATCAGGAAAGGACTAAACATTAGATTTTAGGAAAAGTAGAAGCAATGTTTCAAAGACCTGTATTGCAGGTACTTCACAAATTTGTAATACATGAGTCTGAAATAGTAAGCAACTTGGTTTTCAAAAGATTTCTGAATCATGTGCAGTTACTTGGGCGAGTTGATCAGGACCCTGTCATGAAACACGTGGAAGGAAAAAAACAAGTCACATTATTTTCTCCAGCAACAAATGAGATGTGGAAATCAGGAGACAATGAAGCATACCAAATGCGTGACATCAGTCAAAAGACAACATGGTACGGAATTTCAGTATTCCAATCAGACCTCAGAGATGTGGCATATCAGTATGTGAAAAAGGGCTCTCAAATTTATGTGGAAGGGAAAGTAGACTATGATGAATACATAGCTAAAAATAATGTGAGGAGACAAGCAACAATAATCATAGCTGACAACAGTATATTTCTGAGTGACCAGGTGAAAGAGAAGGCATAGAGCAGACCATTCTTCTTTGGCCAGCGTTTGGTGTAGTCTCATTTCCAAATCATGTATAGTCTTTATAGTTTCTAAGGACAACAATTAAAATATTATCTACACTAATAAAAGACAAAGATGCTAATTGACTGTACCTTTACTATGCCCTAGGCCACACCCACCAGCCAATCAAAATGACTATATGCAAATTAACCCAACCAAGATGGCAGCCGGCAGCCATGGAGCTGGAGCAAATAGGAGGCTTGGTTGCCTGGGCGATGGAGGAAGCCAAGCTTCCCGCCTGCCTGAGCTGGCTGTGGCCTCGGCTGATGGCAACAAAGTTTCAATTATAGAAGACAAATAAATCCCAGATACCTGCGTCTAGCCAGCCTCCACTGGGAGCTTGGGTGGCTGGGGGCTGTGGCCAGCCTGCAAACAGCCATCAGCCCCTCACCCAGGCTGGCCACACCCTCATGAGGTGAGGGTCCCCACTGGGGGGCTTAGCCAGCCTGAAAACGGCCATCAGCCCCTCATCCAGGCTGGCCAGGCACTCCTATATAATAAAAGGGTAATATGCAAATTGACCCTATCAGCGGAACCACTGGGAATGACTGGTTACTATGACACACACTGACCACCGGGGGCAGACGCTCAATGCAGGAGCTGCCTTCTGGTGGTCAGTGTGCTCCCACAAGGGGAGCTCTGCTCAGCCACAAGCCAGGTTGACAGCTGCCAGTACAGCGGTGGTGGTGGGAGCCTTTCCCACCTCCTCAGCAGCTCTAAGGATGTTCAACTGCAGCTTAGGTCTGCTCCCCGCTGGCAAGTGGACATCCCCAGAAGGCTCCTGGCTGCCAGAGTGATGTCTGACTGCCAGCTTAGGCCCAATTCCCCCAGGGAGCAGGCCTAAGCCAGCAGGTGGTCATCCCCCGAGGGGTCCCAGACTGTGAGAGAGCACAGGCTGGGCTGAGGGACCCCCCCCCCGCAAGTGCACAAATTTTTGTGCACCAGGCCTCTAGTTTTATATAAAAATACATTGAAAAAAACTCAGCTTCTCTGGATCAAGAGTCTGCACATAACCTAATTTGATTGTCTGCTCAGGGTTTCAAAAGCCTACAATCAAGATGTTCACCAGACTGCATTTTTACTGGAGGCTGAAGTAGGGAAGAACCTGTTCCCACACTCATTTATGCTGTTGGAAGAATTCTGATTCTTGCAGTTGAATGACTGAGGAATCCAGCTTTTTATTAATTATTGACTAGAGGCTGTCTTTGGTCTTAGAGGACATTCATAATTTCCTGCTGCATACATAAACCTCTCCATAAGCAGTTACCATACAGAAGTGTGAAATGTGCTGCTTCAAGACCAGCAGGCCTTGGCCTGGGTCTGCTAAGATACATACATATATATTATACATATATATCCTACCTAATAAAAGAGAAACATGGTAATTGGCGTACGACCGCTACCCTTTCCATTGGCTAATCAGTGAGATATGCAAATTAACTGCCAGCCAAGATGGCGGCCGGCAGCCAGGCAGCTTGAAACTAACATGAGGCTTCCTTGCTTCATTGACGGAGGACTCCAACATACCCCGCCTGCCTTGCCGGACTCTGAGCTTGCAGTTTAAGAAACATTGTAACAAATATAGAAGCTAAACAAAACCCCAGAAAACTGCTTTCAGCAAGCCCGGGATCTCAGAGCTGGAGTTATACATTGTTTCAATTATAGAACCTAAACAAACCAGATACCTTCTTTCAGCAGCAGAGGCCTCAGAGCTGGAGCCAGAGCTAAAGCTGGCCCAGAATAAAAAAAAAGAAAAAGAAAAAAAGGAGCAGTTTCGAGCTTCAGTCAGCCTGAAAACAGCCCTCAGCCCCTCACCCAGACTGGCCAGGCACCCCAGTGGGGACCCCCACCCTGAAGGGTGTGTGACAAGCTGCAAACAGCCATCATCCCCTCACCCAGGCTGGCCAGGCACCCCAGTGGAGACCCCCACCCTGAAGGGTGTGTGACCAGCTGCAAACAGCCATAATCTCCTCACCCAGGCTGGCCAGGCACCCCAGTGGGGACCCCCACCCTGATCCAGGACACCCTTCAGGGCAAACCAGCCAGCCCCACCCATGCACCAGGCCTCTATCCTATATAGTAAAAGGGTAATATGCCTCCCAGCACCGGGATCAGTGGAGCCGCGAGGCCTCCCGGCTCCGGGATCAGCGTGACATGGGGCAACGCCCAAACCCCCTGATCGGCCCTGCTCTGTGTGTGACAGGGGGTGGTGCCCCAACTCCCCTATCAGCCCTACTCTGTGAGTGACAGGGTGAAGCTCCCCAACCCCCTGATGGGCCCTGCTGTGTGCATGACAGGGGGCAGTGCCCCAACCCCCCAATCGGCCCTGCTCTGAGCCCGACCAGGGTCTGCACCTAGGGATTGGGCCTGCCCTCTGCCACCTGGGAGCAGGACTAAGCCAGCAGGTCGTTATCTCCCGAGGGGTCCCAGACTGCAAGAGGGCACAGGCCAGGCTGAGGGACCCCCCCTCCCCCCCACCCCCTGAGTGCACAAATTTTTGTGCACCAGGCCTCTAGTATATATATAATCTGTTTTAGGTGATATATTTATATATATGTCATAGGTCTTCTAAGTAACGGATAGATAGCTAAATAGATAGAATAACCAACCTACCACCGGATATCCTATCACATTTGGCATATTCTTTTGTTTGTTTGTTTGTTAATTCTCACAAGGATGTTTTTCCATGGATTTTTTTTTAAGAGGCATAGAAGGGAGATGGAGAGACAGAGAGAAACATCGATGCCTCTTGCATGCACCCCAACCATACCAGGGAACCTGCAACCAAGGTATCTGCCCTTGACCAGAATCGAACCTGGGACCCTTCAGTCCACGGGCTGAAACTCTATCCATTGAGCCAAACCGGCTAGGGCCTTTGGCATATTCTTTTGGTAAAGCCAAGTCACAGATTCTTTCTGCATTTAAAGAGAAGAGACTAACTCATTAGGTGTCACCTTAGGATGTGTCCATCATCAAATATTAGATACTATATTTCTACCATATTTTATTGTACTTGCTAAGAACTCAATATTTTAGTTGGTGATGAATAATCTCTTCTCACTATATTTCAGTGTTGAGAAATAATTCTTTATATGCCTGTCACATTTCTGCACATCTGAGCAGGAGGCATTGGCATCTTTGTTCTGCTTGCCCAGATGTTTGTAGAGCTAATGTCTCCTTCCAGGGCAGATAAAATATTTGTTTCCTGACCTGGGTGCTAAAGACAATTTTTTTTCTTCCTAGAAAACATTAGGCTGTTTTGGTAGCATCCTCCCTATAAAATTAAGGATTTTCTAAACTTGAAATTCCTTAGCTGTAGCACAAATCCACTGCGTGTCCAGCATCTACCTATGCTCACAACCTCATCCCCAGATAAGACTTGGGAAGCAGTGGGAACAAGTTTGAACATGAAGGTCAAGTTGCCTGTTGTGCCCTGTATACTAAAGTCCTTTGTCTCTGACCCAGGAGTCTCATGCCTCCTGCCAGCATATATGCAACTGTGGGCAAACTAATGCATTAGGTTAAAAGCAGAGCAAAATTTCAGATCCTTCACAATTCTTGACACTCAATTTTCCTCTATGTAATTTAAGATATTACATTGCAGTTATTTCTAAGATTTCTTTCATGTTTAATCTTCCATAGTCTAATACTCTAATTGGCTCTGTCATTTTTGTCATTGTCAGTTGAATGCAAGCATTTTTGTACTTGACCTCCTTAAAGGATATTTAACTAAACACTCCACAGTAGTGTGGAGATAGTAAAAATTATTTAAAACCACCTTTTGCAGATAAGTAAATTAAATTTATTTTAATTTGTTGGTACAGCTAATGTGATTCATTACCCATTTGGGAAACACACACTGGTTTGACTATGAGTCGGGTGCTCATCCCTTAGCTCATGTCATTGTTACAGTTCTTTTTCACTTTCTATCGTAACATTATAAAATTCCATCTTTTGCATTTCTCTAAGTCATGTTTAAATATGTCACTGAAAAATCCCACATACTATCTTTTGTTCAAACTTTTACTCTCACATTTTCTTTCTTTTTTATTTAATATATTTTTATTGATTTCAGAGAGGGTGAGGGAGAGAGAGATAGAAACATCAGTGATGAGAGAGAATCATTGATCAGCTACCTCCTGAACACCCTCCACTGGGGATCAAGCCCGCAACCTGGGCATGTGCCCTTGACTGGAATGGAACCCAGGACCGTTCAGTCTGCAGGCCTACGCTCTATCCACTGAACCAAACTGGCTAGGGCTCCTCTCACATTTTCAAATATTAAATTGTCTGCTGTTGTTAGTTAGCATTACTTAATTGATCTTTTTTTGTGTATTATGAAAAAGAAGTGCTTTGTCAGAAGATGGAATTGTAGTGAACTACAGAGTAGGGTTGGGAGCCTAAGCAGACATCCTGAAACAGACTTGCACTGGCAGGCAAAGTGCAGGGGTGAGACAAGTAGGTTTTCCACAGAGCAAAGGACAATGACAAGAAACCATCCTAGTTTTGCTATTTTCTTCAGCTACAATTAAAAGTAATAAACACAAAAGTTAACTTTTATTGCATATGCAAAATTTATGGAGACTTCAGAAATAGCTAATAAGCATTTTTATAGAAAATTATATCTGGCCTAATATCCTATCTAATAAAAGAGAAACATGGTAATTAGCGTACGACCGCTACCCTTCCCATTGGCTAATCAGGGCAATATGCAAATTAACTGCCAGCCAAGATGGTGGCCGGCAGCCTGGCAGCTGGAAGCGAACATGAGGCTTGCTTGCTTCATTGACAGAGGACTCCAACGTTCCCCGCCTGCCGCTGCAGGCCTCTGAGCTGCAACTCTAAGCAACTATGTTACAAATATAGAAGCTAAACAAAACCCCAGAAACCTGCTTTAGTCCGCCGGGCTTCAGCCAGCAGGATCGCAACATTGTTTCAAATACAGAAGGTAAACAAAG